CGTTTGACAAAAACTCATTTGGATGAGTTTTTTCACGATTCCTGTCCCCAGCCCCCGGCACACCAGCAGATGGCAACCCAGCTCCACAGACCCCTCCACAGGCTTCAATAAAGCACAGCCCTTGGATTCCACACACACCCAATTCAAAGGGAATTACCTACCTTGTAATAATCTCACTCACTAACTCAAATCTGTAGCAAATTAGCCACTCTTCCTCATAGCCAAGAACAATACAAATTTTAATTTTCTTTTTCATAAACAGAATCCTGCACAGGGGAAATATGCTATTAGGGGAAGTTTATATATTAGGCACAATTGATTCTATTCCTATACTGATTCTATATTCATATATGTAATATCAGATTTTTTTTTTAAAAAAGGAGCAAAAATTTAGAAAATAAAAGGCCAATATTATCTCCTACATCTAAAAAGCACATCCCAGCTTGGAGACCAAAGTACCAATGCCACAGTGTGAGGTCTGTCTGTTACCAGGCTCCCAGTTCATGCTGGGCCAAGGCCCATCACAAGGATGACCCATTCTCCCCATTCCACTCACTATTGCCTAATCCACACAGCTTTGGGGAACTGAACGTTCACAATAAATCAGGCTGAGTGTTGTTCAACAGTTTCAAATCTTTGCATTTGAGCTTTTCCACCCTCCAGATCATTATTCAAAATCCAAGAGGCTTGGGTTTTTAACCATTTCTTCTAGAACAAGACGAGGGAAAGAAGAACTCTCTGGCACTATGTACAACCACAATGAATATGCAGTTACTTGCTTCAACTTTCACTTTGTGTGAAAGTAAATGTAAAACCTTGTGTCATTTGAAATTCTCCTGCAAAGATGAGACTGACCCTACAATGAAATCTTAAAAGTCTGGCATCAGAAGATTAACAGAGAACCAGCTGCTTAGTCAGCAGCCTTCATCTCTGAAGAAGAGAAGAAGTGGTTCTGACCACATCCCGTGTGGTACAGAATGTAAGGAAGAAAGTTTACACTAGACAGAATTGCAACCACTCGGCTGAAAATCTCAACCTCATTTCCAAAAATTATGTCCAGTTTTCCAGCTCAAGGAGTACCATAAGTTTCAGTTCAGTACTGGGAGCACTTCAGAAAATCAGAGTTTGTAAGTATTTAAAAAAAGAATTTCAAAATCTCTTTCACAAACATATCTCACTACGGCTTCTTGAAAATGTTTTGCTATCGCCACAGTTGGCAGAAGGAACATGCATGGTTTCTTATTCCTGGAACATCTCAAACTTTTCCAGGCATTAGATGATGAGCAATGCATATGAGACATAGTCCTAATTAATGGGTTGCACATTATCAGATGTTTCTTTCACAAAACTCTGCAGAAAGTGCTTGAGATGCTTTCTGAGAGGGGCCACAACATGGGACACACACACTAAATCTCTCCATAAATAGAGAAGCATATTCAGCATTAATGTAGTGCTCTAGTTAAGCATCCTGTCCTCAATAAACATGAGGGGAAAGTCACTCCTTGCCCACCAATAAATGCTCGGCTATGGAATATTAGCACCTTATGGCATCACTCCTGGCAGTTTCACTCACACTGTGTTTTGTCAAAATTAACAGCTGGAAGAAGGACACTCCCAATCTACCTCTAAAACAATCACAACCATCTCTTCACAAAGTCATTTTCCTTTCTAAAATTTAGAAACCCTGATGTTCTTTATGCCTTTCTTCATAAGAGAATGGATCCAACATTACTGATCTTTTGCATCATCAGTGACAGGACTCAAGGGAACAGGAGGAAGCTGAGTCAGGACAGGTTTGGTGGGATATCAGAAGTTTTCCACCAGAAGGTGGTTGAGCACTGTAACAGTCTCTCCAGGGAAACAATTACAGCACCAAGGCTGTCTGAATTCGACAAGTGTTTGGAGAACACCCTCAGGTACATGGGGTGACTTGGGGTGTCCTGCACAGGGCCAGGGGCTGGACTCAATGATCCCTGTGGGTCCCCTTCCAATTCAGCATATTTTAGGATTCTATGACCTCCCCTAAAAAATACAGTTCAAGGTCTAACTCTTTTTTTGACAGGGTAAGATCTCAGATAAAGTCCCAAAACTAAGTCATAAGAAATTTTCCATACAATTACTCTTCTGTTCCTTAAGCATGCACTCTATACATATTCCCTGCACCCATTTCTTTTTTAGTGTACTTGGGTCTTGAGAGCAGGAAATACCACTGAGATGCCCATGATGATGCATTATGTGTTTTCCTCTGATTACTTCCTCAGCTGTCTTAGGGATTTAAAAGTCTTAAATAGGATACTTCTCACCAGAATTCAATCTCTTAGGATCAGAGCCATGAGCTTCGTCTTAAGGTAGATGATGAGCTGAAGGTCATCCTCTGAAATCCTCACGTATATTTAGAAGGCACACAGATCAGTCCAACACCTTTCATTCCACAATGACAGCACTCAGTATTCGCTCTGCCCTGGCTTATTTCTCAAGTCAAGGACCTAGTGGCAACTGCTGTGCAGGCACATTAATCCAGATTATCACACATGTACGAGCTGAAAGATTCTGCCCAACAATAAACTGTGTTTATGTAGTTTAACAAGTTAGAATTTGATGTATTCCCAGTTCTGGAGTAATTGCTGATAAGTAGCCTAACTACCAGGTTTGTTTCAGAAGCTGAAAACTAATTTCTGTAGGTTTGCTATTGTTAACTTATCTTTTTGACTTGCAAATATTTTTAAAGAGGAAAAGAATGCAATTTAAGCACACAATTTAATGCAATTTAAACAATCTGTGTATATAGGATTAATAGTGGTTAGAAACCAAAAAAAAACACATTACTGAACACCACAAAGCAATTTAGCAAAGGAAAATCTTCTGATACCTGCAGAGCCAGTAAGAGAGAGCAGAAACAATGCACACAGCTTTCCTGGCTTCCCTAAATCACACTCCACTTCTCTCTAGCAATGCAACTACTGTATTATAACAAATAATAGAAGAATTAAATGCTCTAGCAGTCAAGGCTGGCATATTAAAATGACACTCTGCATTACTGAACTTACTCATCTCTTAATAGAGCTATTCTTCAAAGGAGATTAATTATACTGGCAAGAGACCTTTTGCTATTCTAATTTGTGAAACGTATTTCAATACCACAAGCATATTAAAACAGCTGCAAACATGTAACTGGCTCCAAGATCCCAGGACTCACTGCATTTAATTAGGTGTTCATCTTGTGATGTTCTTTAGTCACTGCTTTTGAAACCCACTTCACATAAAAATTTGTAATGTCTAGGCTTAATTAACTGCAACTGTAATGAACATAGAGCCCATCACAGAATAAACAGAGAGAGAAAATAACCCTATCATTCAAAACCTAAACACCATCACAGAGGGACAAAAACTGGATTTAGAGATGAATTTCTCTGCCTTAGGAAACAGAGAATTTTAAATTATTTTAAAATAACTCATTGGCATTGTGTTTCATATTAGAACATTTGACAGACAGCACAAACACTGCCAGTACAAGCTGAAAACACAGTGTATAACATGAGTAATATGCAGAATTGTAACATGCAAACATCTGCAGCTCACTGAGCTGCACACAGCTGTTAAGCAACAACCTAGTACTCCAAATTAAATATCTGAGAATTAGTACTTTGTTTTAAAGCACAGTTTTTTTCATTAACCTAAGTTATGAAGCTTCAAGGCATTTATCTGCCTCTAGAGAACAGGCCTGTGTTTTAACATATTACTTTTTCTAATCTGTGTCAGATAAATACTTATAGCCAAGTTCATGTGAGCATCTTCCCTTTCTGTTATCATTGAATTCAGAACGACTGGTAAGAGCACAAATTTAAGACAAACACTGAACAGACACCAAATTAAGATGCAACACAATTAAATCAAATCAGAAGAATTTCAGTATAATAACATGTCTGAAAATGTCAAGACTACAATTACAATTACATTGTGAAATCAAAATTAGTTGTAACACATGGCTTTTTGAACCTTAAATATTTAAATTTCCTTTCATAGCCTGGTGGTGCCAAACTGTCTAGGAACCCCCAAAAAATTCTAAGGGCTTTACCCAAAGTACACCCTTTTACTTATGGGGTCATTGCTTCTCAACAGTCTTACAAGGTAATATAAATTTACCCACTTACTTGAAGCACTTTAAGTAGCACACACCAAAATTCCTCACTTGAGTAAAACTTGTTATACAAGTAACTTTGTAGATGTTCAGCAAAAAAGAAACATTTCAGCTTTGGCTTTAATCTACCATTTACCAACAATTTGTGCTGCATATATGCCTTCTAACTGGTTTTTTCCTACCATAGCATTTTTCTTCTCCCCACATATCACTGATTTTAGATTTTCAGAGCTAATAAGGAAAACTTACAAACAAAACATCTGTTCCTTTTTGTATGCAGTTCAGACTCAACTGTAGCGACCTGAGAGTGTGTCCCCATACAGAACACTCTTTTCTTAGAAAACGTTAATTTAGCAGATGCAACATTCCTCAAAAATATCTTACCCAAGGTTCTTTACCAAAACCTTTTGACAGAAACCACGAGGAAGAGATATGTCAGCTCCAGCTCTTCAATTCCCTGGACAGTTATCCCTTTCAGATTCATCCCCCTAGCTATTCCCTAGCGAAACAGGCAGAGGTAGATACTCAAAAAGCTGCTTCCCAATTAAACTTGTTTGAAATGGTTGGGTTCCCATGCTTACATCTCCTGGACTTCAATAATACTTCTTTCAGCCATCAGGCAACTGAAGTAGTGTTGAGAAGGAATGTCCTCAGAAAGAAATTATTCTTCAACACACATCTTTTCCTGCTTTCTGTCTAGCAGGATGAATATATTCTCTTCCTAGTTCACCCTGTGGCCTAGAAAGTCCTACAGGAACAAAATGCTGCTTTCACTGAGCAGGAGCAGGGAAAACAAGGTGAAACTAAAGCACAGGATCACATCACTTTTTATAGCACCACGAGTATTCCCAGACTCACTCACCAAACCAGCAGTTAGTGAAGGAGCAGACTGTCCTAGAGACTGATTTCTCATGCGGACCAGGTTGGAGGTATCTCCAGGAGGCTGCCATATCGTCTGGCCCACTCCACTGTGGACACTGTTTGATAAGGGAAGTAGCTGTTTTCCTTTAAAAATAAAATCAAAATACCATCAGCTTGTTTTTAAACAGGTCTGCAAGTTCAAAGTACAAAGCTGAGAACAAATACTGCATGTGGAGTAAAAGCATTTAATATAAAAAGCAATTTCAAGATTTTGGTAGGTTACAACTTGTGAGAGCACCTTACCATGAAATTCATTATGTTTGATAACTAACAATTTCCAAAAAATCTACTTTAGATTATGAGATAATGGGGAAATCCAAGAACCTTGTAAAAATAGATTGCTATCACTTTACAAATTTCCATATTCTATTCAACTTAAAAAGAAAACAATGTTTGCTGCCCTGAAAGAAGGCAAAATCCCTTTAGTATAATTTTTTACACTCTTTTGAAAATGAATTCCTAATCGTAAAATACTGTCTCCTCTAAATAGGTTGGCCATCTAGACATCCCCACCTTCTCCTACCACTGGAACACTGAGCACTGCATTTCATGCAGCTCTAACATAAAATAGTGTGTGTTTAAATATTGTTTTCCTTTGAACTATGGATGGATATTTTTTGTTCAATACGTATTTTCTAGTCAATGCAACAGTCATTTTTGAAAAATGTCAAGCAGTAAATTTCCTCAGTGAGAAAGAACCGAAGTAGGTCATATTTTGACTCCACAGAGCTTGACAGCTTCCTTTTATGTACAATGTCATCCACAAAGAAAAAAGAGAAGAAAGATATTTCTGTGGTTAAAAACACATAAGTGAAGAAGTCTGTGAATCTGGGTTCAGTTATTAGCTTCCAGATGACTTTCTCTGTAAGTTTGGTCAGTCAACCCCTGTACTTCAATTTCCCCACTGCAAAATGGAAGTGGATCATGCCTCTTTTCTTTAAAATTAGGAGTATGGGACTAAATAACACACCCCCTTCCAAGCATAGTAAAGATTCTTGCATTCAATGGATTAGTTTTAATACACACTCAGGAATCACAGGGGACTTCTATTGCAATAAGAAGCAGGAAGGCTACACCTTTAATCACATATATGCTGCAGAAAATTACTTGTTCTCTCAGAGGCAGAAAGCTGTTTACAAATTCAACTGCACCTTAGAACTAGACGTGAATTATCACATTCAATCCATAACAGTGGCTGCAATATTTGGAAGACTGTCACATAATGTGACCAGCCATGATGCTGAGGGGAGGACAGGGAGTGGAAGTGGTGAGGTTTTTTTCTTTTTTTATCTTGTTAACATTAATTTTCTCTGATAGTTACAAGCAATGGGCCAAGTACACACCAACAGAATAAGTCAAAGTGTATGAGAGATGAGCAGGCTCCACTTTGTCAAGCAAACAGAGACACAACATATTAGTACCCTCTTCCTAGTCCCACTCAAGCTGCTAACAGCTATGGACATGATTTTCATGACCTGATCATTTTCAAGATAATGTATAAATACAACTCATCTCACCTGCAGAGACCTAAAACTACAGAAATGTACATTGCTGCATTCACCTCTGTACAGCACTAACAAAGATATCCTATAATAGCAAGTAAAATAATAGAATTATCTTGCAGTCTAAAATACCCATGCTTGAGGATGGGTATTTAAGTCTCTACAAGATATAGTTAAAATATCTCCTTTTAGTTCCACAAAATCTGAATCCAGGAGGCAGAATTCCATCAAGAGTCAAATCTCAAACAGTTTGCATGCACAGTCATCTACACTCTTCAAACTTATTTGATTCTGTGACAACTAAAGCCTTTCCCTGTCATGCCTCAAGTTCTACACACATTCCAAACACCCACACTGAAAATATACATCTAACACCGTACATTTTCTCTATCCAGCTGAGTCAGACTCATCTTGTTGGGACTCTTTACTCCTTCTTGAATCAGGTATAGTAAAGTAATTAAGATGAACCAACAGATTCTGGAGAATACAGAATTTTTTGTTCTGAAATTACAATCACCAAACAGAATTTTATTTTTTTTTTAAAGATAACACACCTTCCAGTTTTCCTGCTTCGTTCTATTTACTTTGCTTTCTTCTACTCAAGGAAAAAAAAAGCTACAGTACTAACTTGGGCCATTGCAGTCAGTCAACAGCTGGGTAGTTCATAAAGTTCTGTTCTCCAGTGATTAACCTACCTTGGGGAACAAACTTGCATGCACACAAAACATTGTGAATGCTTCAATTTTTCAGAAACTGTCCACTTACTACAAATAAAACACTAAGCCAAGGCCAAAATAAGACATACATACTTTACTGCTTATTTAATTCTATTACACCTAACACCTCAGACATGAAAATATTTATCTTCCTCTGATAAGAGTTCTTATCTTTAAGTGGTGATTTATCTTCTCTGAAAAGACGAGTGACCAGGACTGGATGTATTTTCACAATCACGTAAATCAAGCCCATGACGATGCCAAAAAAAGGTGGTTTCACCTTCTGCCTCTGTCCCTCCTACCTGAGAATTTTCAACTCTTCCAGTTCTTGCACTAACATGCAAATAGGTCAACAGCCTAATGAGGGAGGAAATGGGCTGCAACTTCACCCTACAGAACAACAGTGGCATCCGTGCATATCAGCTCTTTCACTCCAGACTGATGGCACAGCTCTCTGTGCCCTATTCCAGCACCACAGACTCTGGCATCAATTTTAAACAGTTCTGAAACCATCCCCTTGCCCACTAACAAAGTCATTGAAAAAAAAAGAAAGTTACTGAATTTGGTCCATTTTTTGGGTAATTCTTTGCCTATGCTTGCTCCATGGTTCTACAGCTGAACAAGTAAATTCAATTACACGGCTGAATATCACGTTCACAAGAAAAAACAAATTTTACACAAACTGAAGAAAACATCAAGTTAGTAAGCAAGATTTTTACTTTGAATAACGATTGCCTACAGTGTTTCTGAAGCCAAAAAGAAATTAAATAGTAATTCAAACATGATATAAAAAGCCAGCTTCCTAGTAAGAAACAAAATGGCAGAGTGAGCAAGCTTACATTCAATGCTGATGTTAGAAGAGGTCAGAATACACCAATGTGTCACCTGAAGTTCCACAACTCCTTTCCTTAACTTTGCATATTAAATCTTAGCTTTCAATGTTATGCCAACAGTGCTGCTTCTTTAATACTGACAAAGTGTCATATTGTCTTTACAAAATGGCATACCTGACAAAGAACTTGCCAAGCTACCTCTTCGTAGCTTGCAGTCATCTTGACTTAGCTGACGGTGGAGCTTGGTTTTCCCAGCAGATGAAAAAATGTCAGGATTGCTGAGCTTCCTGCAACGCAGCGGCGTGGACTCTGTTATCATCTCCTGGAGGAAGAAACACATGCAGAACTTTGTTAATGACAGCCAAGTATCCCCTGTCTGAAACACACAATGTCAAAAGCATAAGGTGACTGTTTTGAAAAATACAAAAAAACACACTTCACCCCAAAAAAAGAAAAAAAAACCAGAACAACATTTAACATTGTAAATCTCCCTCTTTGGTACCCCATAGCTGCACAGAAAACACATCACAAGGTCCCTGTCAACTCTGGTCCTTGAACACCACTGCTGCAAGAAATCCCATTAATAATAGTCAGGAAAACGTAATTATGCTACAGCAGTTCTTTTCTCTTACAGTATTTAGGAGAAAATGCCACTGAAAAAACAGGCTTAGCTCTGATTGAAGCTATTTCCTGCTAAAGCAAAAGTACTTTCTCCAGTCTTCTTCAATCTTTATTCCATCCAGCCTATGAGTAATATACCTATAAAGAAACTGTTGCAATGTCTATTGCAACCCAAAACTCCTATTATAAGTTATAGCTCTACGACGACCATATGCATAACTAAATAATAACTAGGATAAGGATCAGCCTTTGTGTCATGTCTTTGTTATTACTACAAACAAAATTAGACACGTATGTGTCAGAAACACTCCCACACATGTGAATTCCTTTCACAGCATACAGCAAAATTTCAGTCAAAATTGAGTAGGCAGAGCAGTGTCAAGCACAACCACACTGCTTTCCTCGTGCTTTTCATTGTTCTGGAGGTGTCAAACTCTCATTCTACACCCGAAGAGGAACAACGAGCTTTGCTATCAGACATGGATTTGAAGAGGTGACACTTTCCATTACAGCCCATACAGATTGAAGAGTTCAAGTTCTCCCTTCTCTGCAGTGCAAAACATTCCACTTGTTTTAATGGACTCCTCCATCTTGTTTCAAATGCCTCTCATTAGCTATGCAGCACTTCAAGCCATGCTTATCCTCATAAAAATCTCATCTGAGGCAGAAAATAAACTTTCCCTGCATGATACATGACCACACCATTTAACACAGTTTTAAATTATGTTTAAATCAAAAACTAGTTTACCAGTTATGGTTTTTAATTAAAATTTGCAGATTCCAGTCAAAATCTATTTCTGAAGTCATTAATTCAAATCTATTCAGACTACAGTGTTATGCCTCAAACTGTCAAATCCAGACCAGGACTACACTCTTTAAAACCTCAAGGGGAAGAGAAGGGAGGGGAAAGAGATGAATAAAGTGATTTTATATGACAAAAAAAACTGATTTGGGATTTGAAATAGAATTCTCATTTAGCTCTGAGTCACTCATTCTCAACCTTTCTCAGACCCCATCTCCTTCTAATCACAAAATTTTTTGGCACCTCATAACACCAAATAACTTTGTTATTGTTTGAGGGACAGCAATGCTTTGCTCCACATCAGCTTCAGTGGCGCACCTCTCCCAGGATTCTCTGGATACAACTTCTTCTCTGGTTCTGGTCAGACTTTTCAGCCACCACAGCATCTAAACTGGATCACCAGAGCCAGCTGGGTACCAGAGCAGGTCAGCTCACTCACCCAGTTCACAGCTACAAAGTTGTGTCGGTGCAAGAGTGAGGAGGGGCTCAAAAACAAGTGACCTGGGGGGGGGGGACAGATAAAACTGCTCAGCTGAAAAATTGTTTAAATCTTATGGTCACTTGTACACATCTTGGAGCAAAGAGTGTCACATTTTCATGTGTCTCTGACCTTCCCCACAAAGGTACTGAAGTCCTTCATTCGCAGCAGCCTGTCCTTCTCCTTTTCTGTGATTTGGAGAGCTGAAAAGTCATCTGCCTTTCTCTCTGTACTTTAGAGTGAGCTAAATAATATTAAATTGCAACATTAGCAGTCTCCCAGCACAGAGGACTCTGAAAGCTGCAGAGGCCAAGGGCAGAGAGTCTGTTGTTTCTATTCAGGATGGCAGAACATGGTTATATCTGTATATCTGACTGTAAGTAGACATACAGAAACATGCACACACTTTTAATGAGGTGTGTCCTATGCCTGTGATGTCTGAAATCTGGCACATTTACCATCTGTAAATTTCAAACTGTAAAAACAGTCTGAAATTACACCTTAAAAAAAAAAACAAAAAAAACCAAACAAACAGGCAAACAAAAAAAAACCTACAAATATGGGCACTTAAGGACTTCATCCAGCCTACCCTCTCAGACTCCTCATGCTTCAATTCCAGAGATATTCCCAGCATCCTTCAGTATCCAGTTACTAGCAGTCATGTGCTGAAAGGCCCCATGTACATCAGCAGCCGTTAAAATTAAAATGTCAAAGACTAACTTGAAGTGAAGTGTTCTAACTGGTACTTCTTTGTTCAAAGTTTTGGGGGTGTTTGTTGGTGTTTTGGAGGTTTCATTTGGTTTGTTGTTTTGGTTTTCCCCCTGCAGGTGCATCTTCACCTCCCCTTCAACACACACACAGAAATACACCTCTCACCAACCATTCTCAGTGAACTGCAACTAAATAAAATTCATTTACTTGGGACACCAGGTAAGGAAAGGCACTGAAGTCAGAAACAAAAGTACCCTAAGTCATGTTACAAGCAACTTCTGTATTTCACATCTCTTTCTCCACACAATATACAGATAATGCTTACCAAGAAAAGAATGTGCCCACTTCTCTACCCTTCCCCTTTTCCCTCTATGCACAGTCTCTTTTTATTGGCAAATATAATTACAAATTCTTAATGTGTCTTCTTGAGTTACAGTACACAAGCCTTGTAGATCTGATAATATCTAAATCAAAAGTTCCCCAGCTGAAGGGCACACCTACTCCTACCCCAGTATCTGATCAGCTACATCACCCTGCCTACACACACCTTTGAGGTCAGCCCAGTGGCATAAGCTGCTTCTCAAAAAGCCATTCCATGTGACAGCTGTCCCCAGGTTCAGCTTTCCACCAAAACTTCTGCCACAGAGATAAGAAAGCAATTGTGGAAAGGTAAAAACAGCTTCCCACACTCACCAAAGAATCCAGGCTGTCTTCTAGACAAGATGGATTTGGGTACATATTACATATGGAAACCTCTCCATGAACCCTTTCCTTGCTAAGCTCATTAAACACTTGGGTAATATTCAGAAGACTACGTAAGTGTTAAAAAGTCTGGAAGAAGGGGCCTCCAATCACATTCTGCAGTGTTTAAGTTACTTTTCAAATAGATATTTAAAAAGCTAAAAAAAAAAAAAAAAGCTGCACTGTTCTGAGACAGCCTGCTATGTTTTAAAAAATGCTAAGGGCAACACAGCCAGTTTAAAATTTCATTTTCTAAGTTCTGTGCCCATATTGTGTCAGCAAAACAATGAAGAGGGAAAATTTTAGTGTGATAACAATAGAGCTGTCTTTCATAAGACTGCAATTTATTTCACTCATCCATCAAAATCCTGCTTTGATATTGCAGATCACAGATGAACTGCATGGAAACAGCAGTAGATTACATTACCACTCTAAAGCAAGGAAGGAAAAAACCTAGAGGAAGAGATATTTCCCTGTCCTTGCCCCAAAGCAATGCATACAAAGAACACAAAAATCTTACACAACATTCCAAATTGATGCATAAAGTCTTTGCAGAGATAGAGCCAAATTTTGCTTTCAAACTACTAAATCTATCAGAGCAAGCAGTTGAAGAATAGATTACACAGAACATGCCATAATTTTAAGGACTCAACTTACACTTTTCAAAATAAAAAAATTTTACAACCCTAGATACAAAAGCATTAGTAAGCACACACAACACTTTGTTCACATCATGTGAAAAGGATTGTGAGCCTCTCTTCATTCATTTATTTTCAAAGGTGATAAAGAACTTCATTTACTTTGGGCTTGTGGCTTTTGCCACAAGCTAAAAATCAGGTTCAAACAGCCAGCTGATTCCTGCAAAGCTTAGGGCTGAAGATAAAAGCGTCACATAATCTTGATTTGCTAGGCAAAGATTATTGCTATCACTCCCTACAAAGGTACACAGAAGTTTGCTCATAACTTGAAATAGTGGGGTATGAAGAAGAATGGCCAAAACTTTTCTTGAGGCTCTGCACTTCTCAGCTCAGTCACTTACACACTTGCACAGCAAAAGCACTGAAAGAGTGCTGATACTGGAATAACACCTAAGTCTGTTCCTCTTGCCTGAAATCTTTCATTGGGGTTATCACACTCAGTTAGATGGGAGAACCAGATTGTTACAGGAGATGCAGACAAAAGACAAGGCAAATGTGCTTCTTGATTTGCCTGATCATACTAATATCCCCTGTTAAAATCCTGATCTGGTAATTTCAGAATAGACTTACAAAGATCCTTCTCAGTCCTCATTGCACAGGAAAAGTTCCAAGCAATTAAAAATTAAGCAACTAAAATCAAAAAGTTCAAAGCAATTTATTTTCAAGAAGGAAATAAAAGAACAAGCATGTAAACCACTGCAAGGATTTTCAGAAGCTCTTTTGCTTCCCCATTGTTCATTAAATGGTGCTGCAAGAGAGCAGCACAAGTCTTTAACCTACAAAAGGCAGGTGAATACTGCAAGTGTGGATTTGTGTTTTGCTTTGACTGCCAGGTGAAGCATCACACAGTCAGCAAGACTGACACATCAGCATCACACCAATGCTGGGATAAAACTTTTCAAGTCCTGTTTTTATAGTGTGCATTTAAGATGCAACAGATCATGCAAAGGACACTTCCTTGCACGTAACTGTGCTATAATTACATCAAACACGAACTTCTCGCAATCTCTACAACGCACAAAAGCACTCAACTGTGACTGACAAATATTCAAGTCTGCAGGTCAAAACATGTTAAACTGTTAGCCAGGGGGTGGGCAATCTACACAAAAGTTTTCTATGAACAGGAAATCCATTAATAAGAAAAACAAGAAATCTTTTTTATCAAGCCTAATGAGCATAACAACCTTAGGTCATCTGGAACTGAATCCTAGCAAACTGTTGGAAGGAAGAATGAAAATTTAACTACAATAAACTGGCCAAGAATTCACTGT